GCAGCTTCCCTGGCCTTGCCCCTCTGCTGGTTCCAGCTCTCTGGGGCAGCTTCCCTCCCTGATTTAGGGGGCAGCCGTCATGGTGGCGTCTGGGCACTTCACACTCTTCGGGCAGGGTGTTGCTGATTCTGCTCCCCGCATGTCTGTCCCTCTATCCTCCCTTCCATCCACTACGTGGCTGTCCGTCTGTCCCCCTTGCCATCCATCCGCTGCATGTCTGTCCCTCTATCCTCCCTTCCATCCACTACGTGGCTGTCCGTCTGTCCCCCTTGCCATCCATCCGCTGCATGTCTGTCCCTCTATCCTCCCTTCCATCCACTACGTGGCTGTCCGTCTGTCCCCCTTGCCATCCATCCGCTGCATGTCTGTCCCTCTATCCTCCCTTCCATCCACTACGTGGCTGTCCGTCTGTCCCCCTTGCCATCCATCCGCTGCATGTCTGTCCCTCTATCCTCCCTTCCATCCACTACGTGGCTGTCCGTCTGTCCCCCTTGCCATCCATCCGCTGCATGTCTGTCCCTCTATCCTCCCTTCCATCCACTACGTGGCTGTCCGTCTGTCCCCCTTGCCATCCATCCGCTGCATGTCTGTCCCTCTATCCTCCCTTCCATCCACTACGTGGCTGTCCGTCTGTCCCCCTTGCCATCCATCCGCTGCATGTCTGTCCCTCTATCCTCCCTTCCATCCACTACGTGGCTGTCCGTCTGTCCCCCTTGCCATCCATCCGCTGCATGTCTGTCCCTCTATCCTCCCTTCCATCCACTACGTGGCTGTCCGTCTGTCCCCCTTGCCATCCATCCGCTGCATGTCTGTCCCTCTATCCTCCCTTCCATCCACTACGTGGCTGTCCGTCTGTCCCCCTTGCCATCCATCCGCTGCATGTCTGTCCCTCTATCCTCCCTTCCATCCACTACGTGGCTGTCCGTCTGTCCCCCTTGCCATCCATCCGCTGCATGTCTGTCCCTCTATCCTCCCTTCCATCCACTACGTGGCTGTCCGTCTGTCCCCCTTGCCATCCATCCGCTGCATGTCTGTCCCTCTATCCTCCCTTCCATCCACTACGTGGCTGTCCGTCTGTCCCCCTTGCCATCCATCCGCTGCCTGTCTGTCCCCCTGTCCTTCCTTCCTTCCATCCACTGCATGGCTGTCCGTCTGTCCCCTTTGCCATCCATCCGCTGCCTGTCTGTCCCCCTGTCCTTCCTTCCATCCCCTGCCTGTCTGTCCCCCTGTCTATCTGTCCTCATTTCCATCTTCTCTGTCCACTGCGTATCGGACCTGTCCATCCTTCCATCCACTACCTGTCTGTCTATTTCCTCTCCGTCCTTCCATCCACTCTCAGTGCTCCTATCCCTTCATTCACGGTCCGTCTGCCCTTCCATCCATTGTCCGTCTGACCTCCTGTCTGTCCTTCTGTCCACTCTGTCCATCCTTCCATCTGCTGTCTGTCCGTCTATCCTCCCACCCTTCCACCCGCAATATCCTGTTCGCCCTTTAATTTCTCCTTCCATCCGCTGTGTCCGTCTGTCCTCTGTTTTCTACCCATCCTTCCATCCACCCGCTGCCTGTCTGTCCATCTGGTTTTCATCCACCCGCTGCCTGTCTGCCTCTCCATTTTACTCTCCTCTGGCCTGCAACCTGCCGTGTCTGTGCCCCTGGAGCTGGTGTGTCGCCGTGCCTGTGCCAAACCTGGACGATGTGTCAGGGTCCCCGGACAGCTCCCTGGGCCCTGAGTGAGGGGGTTAGCGTCTGGCCGGTGGGAACAGGCGGGACGAGGGAGGGGTCTCTGCACCCGCTGCCTGTCTGCCTCTCCATTTTACTCTCCTCTGGCCTGCAACCTGCCGTGTCTGTGCCCCTGGAGCTGGTGTGTCGCCGTGCCTGTGCCAAACCTGGACGATGTGTCAGGGTCCCCGGACAGCTCCCTGGGCCCTGAGTGAGGGGGTTAGCGTCTGGCCGGTGGGAACAGGCGGGACGAGGGAGGGGTCTCTGCAGAATCGCCGTGGTGGGGCTTGGGTTCTCCACAAACGCTGGGGGGGGGGGGGGGGGCTCGGCCGCCCAGGGTAGGGGGTTGGAGAGTGAAAGACTTCTTGCTCCCTGGGCGGAGGCTTGCAGTTGGCGGGCGCGGACCCGGGTGCATCTAAGGGCATGCACGATACCGCCTCCTCCGGGCGCTGCTGGAGTGGAACGGGCTGAGCCTGCTGGGGCGGGAGGAAGGAAGGAAGAGGCCGGAGATCAACTGGAACCAGATCGCTCCTCGCCGGGGCCATCTCGGAGCCAAAAATAACCCTGACGATTTGCATAAGCAGCTGGAGAGAGAGCGCGGTAGCCTCTGTGCCTCTGTGCGCAACCTGCCCGTCGTGGGCCTCACTACTGTACCGGGGGGGGGCTAACACCCAGTCCCAACGGCACTGCGGGGGAAACTGAGGCACGGGGGAGCTGACGTGGGCTGGGTAACAGGTCCCCGTCTAGGAGGCTGCCCCATTGCACCCTCGTCCCCTTCTGGCCAGGGGGAGCCATCTGGGGCCCATCCTTTGGCCCAGGATCCTCTCTGCCTTCCCCAGGGCGCTGCCCCAGACCCTCCAACACCCCCCATGCCAGCCCTGTCTCCTGGCCCAGCGCTGCGTGGGGGGTGGATCTGGGTAGGGAGCTCTTGGAGCACAGGAGGGGGCGCATTAACGGCTCTCCGGGTCCCATCGCTCCTCCCTGGCTCCCCAAAGTCCTAGCCGGGCTCGGCAGTCAGAGAAGGTGCTGGGGATCGCTCTGGGAGTGGGGTCTAGTGGCTAGAGCATCAGTCTGGGAGTCAGGACTCCTGGGTTTTAGCTCCAGCTCTGGGAGAGGAGTGAGGTTTAGTGGTTAGAGTGTAGGGGTGGGGCTGGGATCCAGGATTCCTGGGTTCTGTCCCCTGCTCTGGGAGGGGTGTAGGGCTTGATGGGAGAGGGGGCTGGTCTGGCTGCTGCCTGCAGGTCCTGCCTCTCTCTGGCTGCCTTTGGGCTGCAGCGGTGCCCATGCAGAGACAGGCTGGTTCAGGGTGTACCCTGCCTGGGAGTGGAGCTGCCTTCTGCTGGATGCTAGGTTTGGCGAGCTGTAAAAGGGAATCAGCATGTAAGATCGGCCAGACCAATGGGCCAGGCAGCCCTGGATCCTGCTGCCGACATCGAAGGTGCAAGGTGCTTCAGAAGGAACGAACAGAACAGGCATCACCTAATGAGCCACCCTCTGTCGCCCGGTTCCAGTTCCTCGCAGATTTAGGGGCACCCAGAACACGGGGTTGTGTCCCCGACCATCAGGAACCGATCTTGTGCTTTTTAACCCGGTTATACTTTTGGCCTTTGCCACATCCCCTGGCGAGGAGTTCCACAGGTTGTGCGCGGAGGGAAGAAATACTCCCTTGGGTTTGTTTTCAGCCTTCTGTTTGGTGATATCACAGGGTGGCCCCTGGGTCTTGTGCTAGGGGAGGGGGTAAATAACATTTCTCTAGTCCTTTTCTCCACCCCTCTCAGAATTGTGTAGACCTCTGGCATATCCCCCTAGTTACCTCCTACCCAAGCTGACCAGTCCTAGGGCTTTTCTTCTCTCCTCACCTCATCATTTTCAGGGCCTTTCTCTGTCCCTTTCCCAATTCTCATCTCTCTATTTTGAGCTGGAGCGACCAGGCCTGCGTGCTCTGGTAAAGGAGGGGGCGATGGGTTTGTGTGTATGAGGTTTCCTGCTTTCTCATCCTTCCTTTCTCTAGCGGTTCCTACCAGTCTATCTGCTTTTTTGGATGGTCCTGCACATGACTGTTTTCAGATAACAATCCGCAGTGACTCCGAGATCTCTCTCGGCCGGTATCCGCTAACTTAGGCCCTGTCGTTTTGCAGGCAAAGCTGGGATCATGTGCGTTCCTTTGCATTTCTCCGCACCGAATTTCACCGGTGAGGGGAGATCCCTCTTCACGGGCTGCCTTGGACAGCACCAGCGTGAATGATTTAGTATCATCTGCCACCCAGTGCAGCCCCTGGCGGGTCCCTGCTGTGTCCCACTGTCCGCTGACTGCCCCAACCCCGCCCCTTCCAACTGAGGCCACGCCCCTCCCAGGAAGGTGGAGCCCCCCTCTTCCCAACCTAGCCCAGTGGCCCAGGCAGGCTGTGGGCTCCCCTGGATGGGGGACGTTGCGAAAGGCTTTGTAAAACTCCAGGTACCCTGCATCCACCAACTCGCTCTTGTCCTCATAAGTCTTGGCACCCTGCAGAAATTCTAATCGATGGGAAAAGAACCGTGTCCCTTGACAAGACCCACATGGATTCTCGTGTTTCGCTATGTACCTGCTAATTCTGGTCTTTACTGTAGTTTCAGCCAGTTTTCCTGGCACTGACGTTAGGCTGCACCGGCCTGTAATTGCAGCCTTCTTAAAAACAAGTGTCACATCAGCTGGCCGCCGGTCATCTGAGTCAGGGGTGGATTTAGGCTCTCAATTACCTCGAGTTTTGCAGTATTTGTGTATCGTCAAAACGCTTGGGCCTGGCGATTTATTCCTGTTTGGTGAATCAGTTTCTTCCAAAACCTCCTGTGTTCATCGCTAGGATTTGACTTCCAATGTTTAGAGGATGTCTTTTTGCCTCTAGCTGCCTAGTTTACTCCACAGTTTAGCCAGGAAGGCATATTGGGCCCTTTTCCTTGCAGCTTGCAGGCGTTTCACCCTTGGGACTGTTATTTTTCTATGGCTCCCCTTTTTGCTGGTAAAGGCTGCTGCGGTGGGTTTCTCTCCTGACAGGGTGGGGAACTTCAGTGGGCTGTGGGCTCTATCGGGGCTAGTGGTACCTGCGGGGGCAGGGAGGACACAAAGTGGTTCTGTTGGGTTCGCGTCCTGGACCTCTGCGTGCCCCGTAGGGCTAAATTAAGTCTGGCGGCAGCGCCAGGGTGTTGGCCGCATGGCTCTGCTGTGTTCCCCAAAGGGTCAGGGGTGGGTTGGCTCGCCTGGCGGCGTCTCCATCCTTCTCCAGTCCGTCTGTCTGTCCTCACAGTTCCCAGAGTGCGGCTTCTATGGCCTCTACGACAAGATCCTGCTCTTCAAACATGACCTGTCGTCTGCCAACATCCTGCAGCTGGTGCGGGTGGCCGGAGACATCCAGGAGGGAGACTTGGTGGAGGTGGTGCTCTCAGGTAACACGTGCGTGTGTGTGTGCGTCTGTGTGTGTGTGTGTGTATTGCTAATCAGGGCTGCATAGAATCATACAATCCCAGAACTGGAAGGGACCTCGAGAGTTCATCGAGTCCAGTCTCCTGCCCCATCCCCTGTGTCTACATACCTGCTGCCCCCTGCTGGGGGGAATGGGCCTTGCTCTGTGCGTGTGTGCGTGTGTGTCCTTGCTGCCCCCTGCTGGGGGGAATGGGCCTTGCTCTGTGCGTGTGTGCGTGTGTGTCCTTGCTGCCCCCTGCTGGGGGGAATGGGCCTTGCTCTGTGCGTGTGTGCGTGTGTGTCCTTGCTGCCCCCTGCTGGGGGGAATGGGCCTTGCTCTGTGCGTGTGTGCGTGTGTGTCCTTGCTGCCCCCTGCTGGGGGGAATGGGCCTTGCTCTGTGCGTGTGTGCGTGTGTGTCCTTGCTGCCCCCTGCTGGGGGGAATGGGCCTTGCTCTGTGCGTGTGTGCGTGTGTGTCCTTGCTGCCCCCTGCTGGGGGGAATGGGCCTTGCTCTGTGCGTGTGTGCGTGTGTGTCCTTGCTGCCCCCTGCTGGGGGGAATGGGCCTTGCTCTGTGCGTGTGTGCGTGTGTGTCATTGCTGGAATGGGCTCTGCTCTGTGTGTGCGTCTGCGCCGTTGTGCAGGGGATGAATTCTGCTGTGTGTGTGTGTGTGTGTGTTCCTGCTGCCCCCTGCTGGAGGGGGTGCGCCCTGCCCCACAAGTGTGTGGGTGACACCAGAACACACTAACCCTCATTTCCTAGACCCTCCCTGGCCCATCCTGTCCAAGCTCTTCCCACGCAGGCCACTCCAGGCTGGTTCACGCCGGCCAGCGCCGCAGGCTGATCCCGGCCACGTGGCCACGTTCCCTGGAAGCTGAATGCCCGGGCGGTCCCCAGGAGAGATCCAGATGCCGCCCC